CCTACACGAGATGAGGCAGGATAAAGAGGGATAATCCCCCTCGATCCCAAATCATTGAGGCCAATTTCTAGCCATAGAATAATGGCGCGAGTGTATAAAGTATAAATCATGTTTTTTAATAATATTTTGACGTAGGAGGTGGTCGTAACAATATAACCAATGGTAGATGATACAGGACGACAACAAAGAATAAAGTTTTAATACGAGCTAGTCTTTATGGAAGACAAACAGTCGTGACATTTAATCTATAGTCCTGACCTAGTCGACCACGATTGTCGCCAAAAATCATCATAAATATGCGCAGATGTTCAACAATATATAGCTCCTGCTTAGAATATTCGACTGTTGGTTCGGAGCGTAAGAGTAACTAAATAGTTACTCATATGGTTCGGAGCACAGAGTTATATACCTTTAGATTACAATGATTAGGTACCTACAAAATAATGATTCCTCTAAGAAATTTATAAATCCCGCCTCAATCATAGACCCACAGAACCACTTTTTAACACGGCCGACTATTCAGGGTCAAATATCTTTATCTTCTTAAAACCCACTTATAAAAAATGTATATCTTATGGATTTGTAATATATATTAGTGCAATTAAATTCAGCTATGATCCATAAACGACCAAACACAATTATTACCTACAATTAGTTCAATGGTCAAAATTTAAAACTGTAATTTGGCAAAAGCTTCATAGATGGCATCTAAGACTTTAAATTTGGCTGTGTAAGGCCGGTGTCCCATGCATCCTAAATCAGACGATACGAAGGTCCGAAAGTGTTCCTATTGGTTAATATACATTCAAATTTTTACCGCTCATTTTCATCCGAAATTTTTAAAATTCATACGACGTCGGAAAAAGTAGAAATAATTTTAACTTTTATCCGAAATCGTATGTTTTTTAACCTCACTTTTTAAGTTTTTAACATACTATGATTGTTGTTTGATATATTTACAGTCAAATAAATGTTATATTATAATGTCGAATGTAGAAAATATAATATTACGTATATTTTCTATAATAACGAGCGTTCAAATAAAAACGTGGTCAAGTTGGTTCTGAAAATTTGGACGTAGGGCGTAGCGTATAGCAAATGAACTTAAACGTCATCTGTCAAAGCGCTATATCGCCGCTATCAATTTGAATATTTTCGTTTTAAAAAGCGTTTAAAATGGTGTTTTCTCAAGAACAAAAAGTGTTTATCATAGAGTCCTACTTTAGAAATGGACGCAAGATTGATGGAATATGGAAGTATTCTATTGAGGAATGTTTCATAGAATTTCAAAATCAATTTCCCGGCGTTGTTGAGTACAAAATT